GAGCATCTCATTATTACTATTCATCCAAGACCAGCACATTGTTGAAATGGATATTGTATGAGGTGTCCTTGAATTATTTGGGAGGTATTCTCTAACTCTCAAGACTTTATGGAATATAAAACGCAACTGCCTTGTAATATAGTAACCCACATTTTAGTAGGATTTTTGTTTTGGGTTTACATTGTGTTACTGCTATCGGAGGTTGGTAACAATCAGTCAGACTTTCACCTCAGACTTCATCTGCAAAATTCTGCAGTTTTCTGTTTATTACTGCCTTGATCTCCAACTAAATCTCCTGAGTTGACTAGAAAATGTTTTGATAGTATACAAGAAGTGATAGTATGTATTATTGTTTTTAATAGTATAATCAATTTTAGAGTATGTAATTGTACTTAAATGACTTCATAAATTAATAGATTTGCCATAGGTGTTTCCTTTGAAACTTTTAGCATAATTATCTTTGTTTTTAATATCAAACTTTGCTGAAGACACATGAAAGAATTATAAATATTGTGAGTGTATTTGATTAAAAGCATATTTGAAATTCACTATTTTGATTATGTACAGATGTCTATGTTGAGTCACTTGGGATGGTCTTTGGCAGTTTCTTTTTTCTTTTTCTTTTTTTAAATTGAAGTATAGTCAGTTTACAATGTTGTGTCAGTTTCTGGTGTATGGCATAATGTTTCAGTCATATATATACATACATATATTCATTTTCAATATAGGTTATTACAAGATATTGAATATAATTCCCTGTGCTATACGAAGAAACTTATTTTATATATAGTAGCTAATATCTACAAATCTCAAACTCCCAATTTATTTCTTCCCACCCTCTTTGTCCCCTGGTAACCATAAGCTTATTTTCTATGTCTTTAAGTGTGTTCTTGTTTTGTAAATAAGTTCATTTGTGTCTTTTTTTTTTCTAGATTCCACATATGAGTGATACCATATGGTATTTTTCTTTCTCTTTCTGGCTTACTTCACTTAGAATGACATTCTCCAGGTCCATTCATGTTGCTGCAAATGGCATTATTTTATTCTTTTTTAATGGCTGAGTAGTATTCCACTGTATGATATATACTGCAATTTCTTTACCTAGTCATCTGTCAATGGACATTTAGGTTGTTTCCATGTCTTGGCTACTGTAAATAGTGCTGCTATGAACATTGGGGTGCGTGTATCTTTTCCAATTAGAGTTCCCTCTGGGTTTACGCCTAGGAGTGAGATTGCTAGATAATATGGTAAGTCTATTTTTAGTCTTTTGAGGAATCTCCATAGTGTTTTCCATAATGGCTGCACCAAAGTACATTTCTACCAACAGTGTGGGAGAGTTCCCTTTTCTCCACACCCCCTCCATCATTTATTGTTTGTGGACTTTTTAATCATGGCTATTCTGACTGGTGGGAGGTGATACCTCATTGTAGTTTTGATTTGCATTTCTCTAATAATTAGTGATATTGAGCATTTTTTCATGTGCCTAGTGGCTGTTGGTGTGTCTTCATTGGAGAATTGCTTATGTAGGTCTTCTGCCCATTTTTGAATTTTTTTTTTTTTAAATCTGTATGAGCTGTTTATATTTTCTGGAAATTAAGTTGTTGTCAGTTGCATCATTTGCAAATATTTTCTCCCATTCTGTAGGTTGTCCTTTTGTTTTGCTTATGGTTTCCTTTGCTGTGCAAAAGCTTATAAGTTTAATTAGGTCCCATTTGTTTATTTTTGCTTTTATTTCTATTGCCTAGGTAGACTGCCCTAGAAGAACATTGCTAAAATTTCTGTCAGAAAATGTTTTGCCTATGTTTCCTTCTAGGAGGTTTATGGTGTCTTGTCTTATGTTTAAGTCTTTAAGCCATTTTGAGTTTATTTTTGTGTATGGTGTGAGGAAGTATTCTAACTTTACTGATTTACATGCAGCTGTCCAGTTTTCCGAATACCGCTTGCTGAAGAGACCGTCTTTACTCTATTGTATATTCTTGCCTCCTTTGTCAAAGATTAGTTGACCATAGGTGTGTGGGTTTATTTCTGGGCTCTCTATTTTATTATTCTGTTCTATTGATCCATATGCCTGTTTTTGTAACAATATCATGCTATTTTG